CGTGTAAACAGTCTTGCGGTGTAATGGCGCTACTCGTGGATTTGTTACGTGGATTGCGAGCTTTGTTTTTTTCTTTTCTTTTTTTTCTTCTTTTTTCCCTTTTTAAGATGGTTTTATAAAATGTTTAGAAAATGTTAGAACCGGTTTTTAATAATAGTTCCGAAGTAGAAGTAATGATAGATTTATAATACCGCGTACTTTGATTTCTTTTTTATCGAGAATTGGATAAAAGATTGGTTGAATTTATCGGTATATTTTTGTTATTGGAATTGGAGTTATGGGAGAGATTTTGGAATAAAAATGTTCTGACGTTAAAGAACTAATAATTAATGCGAGTAACGAGAAAGATGAAATTGTTTTTTTTTTTTGTGTGTGTGTGTATTTGTATTTGTAAAGAAATCATTATCATTTTAGAAATTATTACATGGAAGATATTTTAGGTTTATATTACGTATGATCATTTTGCAATTATAATACTTTTAATGAAATTTGTCTTTTTATCGAAATGAAAATAATGATGATCGTGGAAAATAAATGATGGAAATAATAATAATAATAATAATAATCTGGTTGTAAATAAAATATTATTTTCATGATTTCTGAAACGATATAAAAAATGATATATTCAATTTTTGCAAATTTAATAAAAATAATATGTCATACGTATCAAAGAATAATTAGAAATTCAGGTATTTTTAAAATGCAACTGTATTTTGTTTGAAATTTAACTTTGGATTCGAGAATAAATTAAATGAAAAGGAGAAAATAATAATGTAAAACAAGAGAGATGGAACAGAACGGTAATAATAATATAATAATAAGGTTGAACAACAAAATGTGAATTTCAGGAAAAGCAATATAGGGGTATAAAATGATCAGAAATATATTATTTCCTGGTACGTGCTTGAAAAGTATTAATATTATGAAACAAGTAATAAATGGATAGAAATGTGATTAACTTTTAGTCAAAATATCAGTTTCATTTATAAGATATGTTGCACATCTTTACCAAAGAATTTTTTAATAAAAAATTCGCATCTTTCGTATTTCTTTACGATTTATTAAAAAAAAAAATTTCGAATATCATTCGATTTTCAATTTTACGAAAATCGCATCGACAATTAAATTACTTCAACCTCAAATTATTTTTATCGTTATCAACCTTTACATCAATACATTTAATACCATAAATATTCTTCGCAAAATAAATTATTCTTCCTATCAAAGCAAATCAAAAAAAAAAACTATCTACTTCGTCTTTAAACCCTTTCACGATTCTCATACATAAAAATAATTATCCACAAATATTGATCCCACGTTAAATACACATCCTAAACAAATTTCAATCAACGATATCACCGATAAAAATATTATTCTCGCCATTATTCATCAATCTCTTTTTCTCTCGAAGAAATCATCGTAACATTCGTTGAACAAATAAAACTTTCTATCAAAAAAGCATTCCTCTTGGACTATCCTCCAACGGCGGGAGTTTTAAATTTCCAACCCGTCGAAGTGTAACGCGGCGCTACATTAATAACAATTTCATTTCGCTGGATCGAAAGCGAAGGGGGCCCAGAAAGTGATCGAAGATACTCGAGACTTCGGTCACGGGTGCAGAAGCGGTTGAAATTTGAAATTCAATCGGATGCAAATGGCAGGGACGAGGGAAGACACTTACGGCTAACCGGCGAACAAGATCGAGGATTCGTCGCTTGCCCGTGTTGTAAACACTCGTCCCTTTTTACCAGGCTTATGAAATATTGATAGGCCTCCATTTGGCGCGCGCGCGCGCGCCAAACGAGCCCTCGATGACGTTAACGATGTCGCCGGCTCGAGAGTAAAAACGACACGGAGGAATCGTGTAAGAATTTCAAAACAGATCGGCACCCAAGGGCTTATGATTTTCGCGAATCGTGGGGAATTATCGGCGATTATTATTCTTTTTTTTTTTGAAAACAATTGAATAATTATGTTCCCTTATTCACCTCTTTCTCTCTCCATTTTTGAATGTTTTTCAATTTATTTCAATACATGGCACGCTTGTACGAACAAATATATTATGAAGTTCGTATCTAATAATAAACTTATATGTGTATTTTAAACATAAGATATTCGAGAAAGGCGAAATATTTTAAAATATTTATAAAATTTATCGAAAGAGCGACTCTTGAAAAATAAATGGAGACTCTTCGAGATTACTATTTGACACGTAAGAAATAAATAAATTTCTCCCGTGCATCGATCAACATTGGGGAAAAGCAACGCGTTTCGCAACAAAGTTGCAAAGAGAATTACAAGGCGCGGTGTATTAGAAAAGAAAAAAGAAAAAATTACTGTTGCGGATATCGAAGAGGGGAAAGCGGGAACGGGCCAACGATCCCAATTATAAACATTTCTCGTGGCTTTTCAGAGGTACATTCGTCGAAAGAGGGAACGTGTACAGCCGGTGCATTTCATAGTTCACGCACCCTCGGTACACTCTTCACGTTCTCCGACGTATACCGCCTCCATATCGCTCTTCGTCCAAAAGTACTTTCCGTTTTCGAGTGCGTCCGAGCACATGCGGGTTGATTTTCTTCCTTCTTCTTTTCCCCCTTTTTCTCGCCCTCGTTGCGCCTCGCCTTCGCCCCCCTCTGTTCCGCAACACGTTGATCAACGGGTCAACGGCTAGTATTCCCGTCAAAGGGGAATACTAGCTTTGTTTCCACGTTTCGTTTCCACATTTTTCTCCGCCACGTTTACCACCACTGCCTTCTGTTCGAGAAATAATAGGTTGAGAATTTTAAACGCGAAACGAGGTCGAACGAATCGAGTCGAGAAGATATATCGTTGGATCGATGATGAGATTGAAAGCTGTGGCGAATTGGGAATTTTGGAATTTTTATTTCTATACACAATTGGAAAATTGTAAATGAGGGAGGTGATTGGAAAACATTAAAAGTTGGAACGATGCAACTAAAATTATAGCGATTACGAAAAACTTATAAAATTGTACCAGAAATCAATTTGAAAATTAGTTGCTCGAAAAAAGTATATATAAATTTTGAGAATCGCGAATTACAAATTATCTATTATACAAAGTATTGATATATTCATAGGATATCTAAAATATAACAATTGATACGCAAAAACATTGATCAAAACTTATAAGCAATTTGAATTTCCAATACACTATATCACTTTATCTTAAATTTCGATTGTTTATATAAATAAATCTCAACCTCAATCTTTTTTCTCTGTTTCGGCCCTCAAACAGAATCAAACGTAAAATTACAAGAAAAAGTTATGAAAGAAAAAAAATTCATCAAATTGCATCATAGAAATAATATATCGAGCCTCCAAAATCAACTTCACTTCGGTGTACCACATCATTTCCAACGACAATGGCCATCCACATCGGCGGATGCCGGTCATTAAACCTCCGGTTGACACCGAGGTTGCTGCGTAATCGCAACCGCGAAGGAAAAGTGCCGTGTATTTCGCGAAGGTGGATGAAGAGGGAGACGCGAATAGAGAGAGAGAGAGAGGAGGGAGGAAAGGAGAGAAAAGTGACAGAGGGGGTGATAATTTGTTAGCATGCGCGCACCCCAAATGCGCGAAATCCCGTCGAAGTGCGGCTCGTGCGCATTGTTTCCTTGTTTGCCAGGTGTTTCGAGTGCTCCCGCCGAGTGGGGGCCACGCCATTGTTACGAGAAGTCGTGCAACCGCTCGACAAAGCCGACCATCTAATGCTCTTTTATTGTGCATTGTGCTCGGCCAAATCAAGGAACGGGGAACACCGAGGGATCTCCAACCGTTTCGATGCGATAGGGGTGGAGAGGAGGCGCCTACAACGCCGCCACCGATCGCAACAACCCTCCTCGAGTCGAGGTCCTCGCGATCGTGCGGGTTTTTACAGCGTTCGCGATTCGATGACGATGATGATGATGATGATGATGATGATGATGTCGGTTCATCCATTCTGTGAAGGAAGATTTATTTTTTCGCTTCGATTCGTTATTTTTTTCCCTCTAATTTTTAGTTTCATCGTTCTTTATGGGGAAGAAATTTTGATAAACGATTTTCTCCTTTTGGTTTTAATGATTTTGATTAAATGCATCTATTTATGGATATTCGTGGATCGTAAGATTTTTAGATAATAGTATTGTTTGTTTGTTTGTTTGTTTGTTTTTTGGTTGCATTATTTTAAATAATTGTTTGTTAAACTATGGTAGAATTGAAATTGGAGAATACGAAAGAATTAGAATTATTATACTTACTCGATCGTGGAAGCGAAGATGAGACGGCGCAAACGAATCAAAGAATAAAATAAGGTTTCTTCCAAAAGAAATTTATTCTGTTCCAACATTTTTAAAGTGAAAATTTATTCGAACGGTTCCATTTTTTTTCTTTTTTTTTTCTTTTTTTGTTCAGTGTGTGGTACTGCGACTCGTGTTTATCGGGAGACTGACAATAATGCATGGAATAAAATCGTCATTGCGATCTGGTCTTAGTAAAAATGACAATTTTCCACGTTAAATAGCGCACACATAAATCGCGAACGTATATTATAGCGATGCAGATTACTATATTCTAAACATTCTCGAATCAATTTCATTTCTTTTTTTCTTTTTTTTTTTTTTCATTTTTATCGTTAGTATTATTATTATTAATATTATTATTAATATTATTAATATTATTATTATTATTATTACACTATCTACTGTGTTTTGCTGATTGCTCCTTGTCCTTCGCCCCTCTCGCGGATTTCCATTTCCATTTTTTTTTTAAATTCGCTCACAGACAGAAACATACACGTCACATCCTCTATCCTCATAATCATATTCGATATTTCAAATAATAAATTCCATTCTTATCGTAAAAATAAAGCGTTTGGTACAGTTTTCCATTCTTCGTCGTAGTCTTTTTTTCTTTCTTTCTTTCTTTCCTTCTTTCATCACGTTATTCTGTATAATGTATTAGCTATTACGTTTTTTTTTTTTTTTTTTTTTTTTAATTGTAAAACCGCAGGATTCCCTCTCATAGTGAATCGTTCGTGTCTTTTTCACGGTGTATATAAAGGTTTAAGTATTTGGTTAACTAATTTCCCTGAAATTGTGTCTTCAATGGTCGCGATTGCACAATTGTTAATTAATCGTTCGGCAAATCTCTGTTGAGTCTCGTGGATGTAGAAATTTGTTCACGGTTGAAACAATGTTGAAACAATATTGTTGATAATGTTGCGTGCAATTCGATAAAAGGTATATTTGCAGCTTTTCCACTTCACATGGGTAATTATAAACTTCGTGTTTTACAATGGTTCTTCGCACACCTTTTCAGTTTTTTTCTTTTCTTTTAATTTATCTTTCAACCCTTATATCAATACCCTATACAATCGCTATAACATATATATATATATATATATATATAGAACATGAAATTTTTTATTTTCACATTAAAATATTTTCGAATCCAGTTGGATTGTTATTTGATAACAATATTCATGTTCCAAATTTAGAATTTTATTATTATCAGAAAAATACTGCGATCAAAAATTGGATGATTTTTTTTTTTCTTCCTTTCTTTAAATTTCGAGTATTGACGTAAAGGTTAAACGAATGAACGTCGAATATTAATTTTTGTTGGATTAAGCCGCTTTAAAATTCGAAATTGAACATTGCGATAAATGTAATGTTACGCTTTAACACAATTATTGCCATCGATCCTTATTTATTTGTTTAACGAAACGACCAGTGTTGCAAGACGTTTGCAACGTAAAAAAATCTTTGGCTTTGGTTAATGTATATATCGATATGCATATCTAATTGTTCCATTTTTCCGTATCATTAGTAAGCGTTGCTAACAGTAAGTGAAAATTAAATCTTTTCTTATAATCTGTTAGTGAGGTATACAAACGATTAAACAAAAATTTGTAATTCCTTATTACATCAGTAATAATTCTGACTGTGATTGAGGAACTCGGTGAAAAAAATGGTACAATTATACTTGTTTCATAAATAATATAAATATAAAAATTATTATAAATACCTAAGTATTTAATTAAAAAATTGTTTATTACAAACTTTCAGTGTTTGATAATATAATATAGATCTCTCCATTAAATTTTCATGCAAGTTTTTTCCCATGTACCATTTATACCTCTGAATCTATCAATTTGTTTGCTGTAGGACAGATTTGATCAATAAATTAAATAAATAATAGATTTATTATTCAAGCGTTGAAAAAGACTGGATATAGACTATCAACATCTATCTACACACAATAAATATAAAATATAAAGAAAATATAAAAATCTATTGCTAAAACAGTTGAATGAGGAAATAAAAAATTGCAACATTCTATTTAAAATAAACTATCTAGATTTGACGGAGTTTTTTTCACATCTTCGTCTTTTGTCTCTTTTATTCCTCTTTTCTTTTTCTTCGAATCTACCTCTTGTTCTTATCACGGTATCGATTCGACATACGAACGAAGATCGTTCCAGTCAAAAAACGTATAAAAGTCACATTTTGATTTCCCAACATTCCAAATAATCTAACTATCGAACGAGATCCTGTCAGGCATTCGTAATTGTGGCTCTTGCATCTAAAATTATTAGAAACTTTTCTTTCTTTCGTGATTTCACAATTATTGATTGCAAAATAAAATTCAATCAAGATATTATCGTTGTTTAATTCTTTTATATCTAAAAAGAATTTTTAAATATATTTTCTTTTTTTCAAATTCAACTCGGCACGTTTAATTAATAAAAATATAATTTGCAAATAAACACAAAAATCCAATTTAAAAATTCTCTAACGATTTCAATCGCAACAACCATCCAATAATTTGGCCTGTGTTCTCTAATATTCTAACTCACTCGAACATGACTAGCATCGTGATCGTACGAAACGAATAAAACGAAAACACGAATGATTAATTCATTTCTAAAAAAAAGTGGAAATGTTTGAAAGATAATTTCAATAATTCTTTACATATAAAAATATATAAAAAAAATTTTCATTTACCCTCGTCATAAATTAAAAAAATTAATATTTTCGACATTTGGAAAATTCATTTTCCAAATATTTCATAGCTCCGCTCTAAAAGTTTTCTCAATCGTTCAAGTTTTTCTCAAAACTTAGATCAAGTGGATCATCTACGATCCAACAATACCAAGTGAAAGCTTTCTTTAAAACGTAGAACTTTAGCAAGGAAAAAAATATATTAAAATATCGTAAATTAGGGTTTTCAATTTTTCTCTAAATTTTCCAAAGCATTCCATCTCTTCTCAAACCTAAGTGATCGAGAATTGAAATTACGCGTCAAGATCACAATCGATGAAACAATTGGTCATACAAACTGCACGCACATATACAGACCTCGGTCGACGAATTAATTTCACGCTAACGCCGATATAACATTATATACAAATTTATTAAAACAATGACTAGCAGTCGGTACATCGGTCGAGTACCCCATCGATATCTCACTATCAATACGTCGAATCCTCTTCATCGATATACATAATTACCATAAACGTCCCCTTGAATCGTTTTCAATCATTTAATTCACATCTCGACACAAGTATAGTTTTTCAATAACTTAACTATAACAGAGACAATAAGTATTGTAATTGTTCGAGGAAATATTTATCTTGATAATTTTTATAATAATAATAAAGAACCGTAATGGATAACAATAAATTAATTGAAATAAATTGAAATAAATAAGTGGTGATATCTATTGATACAACTGCACCTTGAATCTTAGGCTTTGTAAGTTATCTGTGAATTCAAATTTTTACATTTATAATAAGATACATTCTCTGATAAATGACAAGATCAATTATGTAATTTTACTAAACTAAACTGGATTAATTATTTAATTAAAGAAATTAATTATTTAATCAGAAAATGCAACTTATATTTTAACATTATGTTTTCTTAGCAACTCTTATTCTAACAACTTTCAGAGGCAACCTCGATTTTGTTTGAAAGGATATTCACAACTTCAAAAAACAGCAAGCTCACATTGATCAACTTGAACAAAATTCTACCATTTACCAACGAATCAGTCTTTAGATGCTCCACAGTTCCACTATAAGTAGAACACTACGCTAAACCCTCTTAAAATCTCCTAACCCGACCTCGATCAGTCAATACCTATTGCCTCCACCACCAGTTTCAAGCGAACCAAAGAAAAACATGGATGATACAATTGTTCACTTCTATAGTTCGTGGGCTATAAATGGATGATAGGTTGGTACGTTTTTGGACAGAAAAAAGGAAACGCACCCCGTCGAATCACCCCGCCACCGACATCAGTCCCGAAAAATCGGAAACATCCCCTGAATATCGATCACCGTGCCCATCCAACACTCCCCGAACAACCCATCAATCGAAGAAATCGTCGTCGCCAAACGGATCGCTCTCCCTCACGAATATATTCACCGACTCCGACTTCCTGATGTGTTGGTCGTTTCTAGACTTGTTGTTGTTGTTATTGTTGTTGCTCCCCGCGGAATATTTCCCCTGACGAGTGTGGTTCTTCAATGGTAAGGTGGTGGCTCGATGATCGGACACGTTGTCCTCCATTTCTGCTTTGAAAGCGAACGCGTCGTCGTCGTATCTCAGGTGTCCATTGAAGAAGGAATCACGGCTGCCGTCTCCGGAAACGAAGTCGTCGGGAGGCGCTTCCTTGGCCTCGCAAGAAGGAACATCTTCAGGCGTCTGCTTCTGATCGGAGGGTAGCCTCTGCCGATCGGACGAATCGCTCATCGCTGTGGCTGTGAATGGCAGGTCGTCCTCGAAGTAGCTTGATCTCTTGCTGTATACTTCCTCCATCCCCCTCCTAGCTACTTTCGAATACCTCGTGGAGAAGGAAGGACTCTGCGGCGATGGTTTCTGATCGCTTCCCTCGGAACGGATCCTCGGTGGCTCGACCGGAGTCAGAGATTCCGTGGTCGAGGGATCTATGTGCTCCACGCTTTGGGCGAAATCATCCTCGAACGGGCTCTGGGTCTTGACGTGAGGTTGGCGAGGTTTGTGCCTGGCCACTCTCTTCCGGTGCAGACTCTCGCTCTTGGTATCCGGCTCCTCGGACCAGTAGGGCCTCTCCACCCAACTGTCGTACTCCTGATCGCTGCCCCAATAGCTCTGACGACTCCTGGAACGTTGAGAGGATCGTATGTAAGGTCGGAGTCGTTGTCGTTGCACTCGGATCTGGAGGTGCCGAATTTGCTTCGAGATTCGCCGTAAATCATGTCGATGTTTCGCCCCTCGTTCGCGCTGTTCGGTCTCTTGGGCCAATGTCTCTTTCTGCCAGACTGGTTGTACCTTGGTGAATCGTCTCCAGGTCGATCCGAGCCGTAGTCTTCGTTCCAGGCTGATGGATAATCGTGTGGTCGCTCTCTAGCTTCTCTGTAGTAATAGTAATCCCTGCTAGGATAGTCGGAATCGGTGGCCTGCTGTCCTTCTGTTCCAGAATCTGGCATCCTCTTCTGGCCACCTTCTTCTCTCGTATTTCCTCCTGGACCACCTGTCGTCGTCGTCGTACCCCATGCTTTCTTGACTGCCAAACCTGTCTTCCTTCCACAGCATCATCTTCCTCTTTCTCTCGTCGTCGTAGAACGGCCCGTGCTCGTGCGGCCAGTTCCAACGTTGAGGCTTGGATCTGCACTTCCAGTGAGCCTCGTAATGCTCATCTTCGTCCTTATATTGCATCTTCCTGTGAGGATAATGTTTGGACTCTTTCTCCCATTGACTCTCGTCGTGCCAGGGAGAGGAATCCCGAGGTCTGTGTCCGGTGTTTTTAATCCAAGCCGCGTCACGAGACTTCCTATCCTCCATCATCCTGTCTCGGAACCCTCTGTCACGTTTGGATCCCGTTTCTTCGTAGAAACCTCTGTCTCCAAAAGGACCGTCGAATCTGGGATAGTGACTACACCTGAATCTGGGATCTCGTATCCTCCCGTTGCTCTCCTCGCTTTCTTCTTCGTCTTTCCACTCGTTGTCGCTGTCACCAGATTGCTGGTACACGCTACCTTTGAAAGAAGACTCTCTGTGGAACTCTTTGCCGTCGGGGGACCAGGGCGAAGTACCACTGATCGAAGGAGGACACTCCGAAGGTGGTCTGTCCGATACGAAGAGACTTGTATCGAATTTGGTCCAATTGCTATCGTCTTTGCTTTCATCTCTCTCTGGTTTCAGCTCCGTGAACGGGCAGAAGATATCTTCGGGAATCAATGACTTGGTCTTCGTTGGCTGACCACTGGTACTCAACATTTTGATCTCCTCGAAGATGTCCATGCTCATTCCTGTGTCTTCCTCTTTCTTGGACTGTTTCTTAGGGCTGGAAGGGGGAGGCGTGTCGGAAAATAGATTTAACAGCTCTACCTCGGCCGAAGGCTTGGACTGAGCCGGTAATTGGACCACAGGAGACATTCTGGTGGAGGTTGCTGTATCTTCTTTAGTTGGTTTGACAGGAGGCTCTGGTTCACCAATAATCTCGCGTAAAGCGGCATATTTGTCGCTGGATATCGATGCGGAGGGCTTCACTTCAACTTTGTCTATTGCTAATGAACCATTCGTTTCTTCCGTAGTTTTTTCTGTAACTGGCTTATCAGAATCCTCATTGGAGTCACTAGGTTTCTCAGACTCGGTTTCCTCCATTTTCTCTTCAATTTCCACTATAGGTTTAGTTTTATCAGATTCCTCTTCTTCTGGTTTCGACAACAAGTCTGTGGATGCTTCAGATTCTATCATTGATTCTGCTTTACTCTCTGATTCAGCTGATTGAGTCTTTTCAAACACCATATTCGAAGATTCTGTTTTTTCCTCAGACTTTGCACTTGGTTCTTCCTTAGTCAGATCCTCATTGCTAGGTGGAAGTTTCACTGTTAGATTCACTAAAGTGGCCAATGTATCTGATCTACTCTCCTCACTAGTCTCATGCTGCTGGCTAATTATCTCGAACTCTTCCTTCTTCATTGAAGACGCTTCCTCTTCGGTAGACTCTTTCGTCGTAGTTTCTTCATTCTTCTCCATCTGTTCTAGCTCAAACAATTCCCTAAAAACAGCGTATTTATCATAGGTAGTATCTTGTTTGGTTTCCTGTTCAAAGTTCTTGGTGAAAGGTTCGTTGAATGGTCTCGAATGCACCGCGCCAGACATTGATTGCGGTTGGACAACAGTCGCTGGTTCTTGTTTCATAGAAACTGGCTCCTCCGTGTCACTGGATGCAGCTTCCTTGGCTGACAAGGTAGCCAAACATTCGGTCAATTGTTGAAGAGTCAAACTAGTTAACTCTTTAACGGTCATACCTAAACTGTTAGCCAATTCATCTAAATTAGCAGACGTTAATTGGCTCAACGTGATATCCAACGAGGGTTTCGTCTTTTTGGGTCCAGTAGTCACACTGGTCGATGTAAAAAACGTGGACAAATTCGTGGTAGGTACCATAGAGCTGAACGAGTCTTCGAACGTCGACGTGGTCATCGCGCTTATCAAATCAGACTTGTTTGACATTTGTACAGGCGGACTGAAATTGTCATCGGATTGGAGGCTCTTCGCCTCCTTCAACGGGCTTTTGCTCCTATCTTTGGTCACCTCGGACTCCCTTTCAGGGAAATCGTAATGGAAATAAGTCTCTGTGTGCGGTGGTCTTGGAGGAGGTTTTATCATACCCCTAACTCCTTGCTTCTTCGGCGGCAGAGGTGGTGGATTGATCAGAATATTGGCGATACCTCGAGGAGGTGGTTCAGGTACGAGTTCCAATTCAGCGGACGAACTTGATAGTCTAGAATTGGCATCTGAGGAACAGGATTTTAACGGAGAAGCTGGTGATTCATTGGTTGCCGAAAAGTCAACAGGGAATGTCTTGTCCATGGATTGCGTTTTGTTACCGGATATGTCTACGTCGAATTCCTTTTTACGGGTCGATTTTATGGGACTAGGAAGCTTTACCAGGCCGTGTATAGACTCTGTAGAGTCTTTTTCCATTCTTGTAAGTAGAGAGACACCTGAAGAGGTCGGGATGGTTGAGGATGGTTTCGGGGTGTCTTCAGGAGGCAGAGACACGGAAAGAGGTTGATGATGAGCCGGTCTAGACGTGATATCTGTTCTTCTGCACGAGTCAGTGCGCGCGAAAACTGATTGGATCGCCTCGTTCTCGTCGAAGCGATCGAAATTCGCGAAATTGCTGTCCTCGAATTGATTTTCTTTGGCGGCCACATCGTTTCGTGGTTTCACTGACTCTAGTGGTTCTGAGAGAACGTTAAAGTTCGTTGGGAACGTATCTGCCGAGTTAGTGGACACTAAATCTTTTAGCACCTTCTTGGGAGGATTCTTCAAGTGTTGAAAAAAGTCCTTCTTGTCCACATAGGGTTTGATTAAACCGGTTCCTAATGGATCCAGCTCCGTGAAAACATCTATCTGTGGACTCTTGGCTTGAGTCTGTAACATATCAAATAATATTTAATTAGAAATAAATATATAATTTGAATAATTATTTGATATTGTTAAAATTATAAAACTAAGAAAACTATAAGGATCTTTGTTAAAGTAATAAGAGATAGGAACCTTAAGAGGATAACGATCTATGAGTTATATTAAAATTTTTATATGTTTTTTTTAAATTATTAAAAAATTAATGTTTACTCATATCTACCTCTTCCACATCTTTTTTAACCGGTGTATTATTCTTGGTCGAGTTTGTGAGTTCGCTGTCACTGAATAGATTCTCGGTTTCTTTGTCGAACCACTGAATGGTACTTTGAAGTGGAGGAGTTTTACTAGTCAATGTGGTCGCTGGACTCGATGTGATTGACGATTGGGCGCCTGGAATCGTTTGCTGTCGCTCTAGGTGGCCTCTTTTGGAAGATGAGGGTGGTGGTGGTAGAATTGGTCTCACAGTATCTTCCAGCTATGGATTATATTATTGTTTGAACAAAATAATTTATATTAATAGAAACTATCAGGTAGTAAAATTAATTTTGATTAATTACTTTCATATTCGCAAAAGAATCGCCAAATGGATCGGTTTCAAAGAGATCATCAGTGGAAGGTGGTGGATTTTCAGGGGTAATTTTGTCCATGTGATGGATACCTTGCTGCAGAGAGTTCAATTCGAATTGTAAATCTAATAAATCCCTTATTACGGGATTATCCCTTATTGGGGACTCGTTTCGTTTGTCAGCTGACTTGTCTACCTCCGAATTAGTATTCCTTACCCGATGAAGAGAAGATTCTGATCCTGCTGCACCCTGTTACATAACAACATCAAAATTATTATACACGAAGTATCGAATATTTAGTAAAAGAAGAAGAAAAAAATAAGACTTTTTCTTTCTTAAATCATATGATGTGATGTTATTAGAATATTAAATATACAAGCAAATAAATTAATTAATAAACATATTGTAAAAATAAAAGGAGTGATGGAAAACAATTAGCAATTACTTTAGTATCAGGGGTAGGTTCGACAAAGATGCCAGTGGTATGAAATTTAATAACGTTTATAGCGTTCTGTTCTAAATGCTGCTTCGTTAACTCGATCTCCTTCTTTTTTAACTCGAACACCACTTGAAACAAGTCTCGCATCGCGATTACCACCTGCAAAATATTGCAAGATGAAGAAAAATCTCTTCCACGGTGTCAATGTTGATTATTTCATTGAATAATCATAGTACAAAATACTTGAAATTAAAATGAAATTATATTTAAAAACCTAACTATTAAATAAAAATAAAGAAAAAAGGAGGGGGATGGGGGTAGAGATGTAAAAATTATTTCAAGGATTCTTATTTAGATGTTATAAAAATATATTAAACGTAAATTTGTATTAATTGAAAAATACCTTTTGCTTGAAACAAGTTTCGAAATAATGCAGCCTGAGAGTTACGTCCTGTTCTACTAATATACTAAACGCGTCCGACTATACACGATCCGCAGTCACTTATGGCCTATTCCCCCTCTATTACACATTTCCCTCTCTCTTACAGTTCAGTCACGTGGTCAGCTACATCCACTTACTCCTTTCGATAAGTTTACATTTTAACATACCATTTTCGGTGATTATATTAATTTCAATTTACATATAAATATTAAAAGACTAAAACTACAAAATGCAATCTTGCATACCTTCCATTTTGATCATAATAATCATACATTTCTATTAAAAGAAAGGTAATGCAATTGTCTATTTATTTCATTTTAATTGCATTGCTAATAAAAAAATATTAATTATAACTTCTAATAATAATACTCCAATAATATATTATTACATATGATAAGTATAAACGTGAAATGAATGTCATGGATTGATGAGAAACACACAGCAAATAGATTCATTTTAAATTTTCCTAAAATTCTAAATATACTATTAAATTAACTTTTCTAAAAATCCGTATCATTCAAACAAAACTAAAGGTAAAATGATAACTTCTCCCTCTATTCTCACATATATAACAGTTCAACAAAACCCCAGGTATCGAATATAAAAATGGGTTAAAATTAATCCTCCAGTATTTTATTTTATTATTGGTAAAAACCAATAAAATAAAAATAGTCGCCACAAGAAAAAAAAATAGGAAGAACGGAAGGGAGAAGCATCGAACAATCGCAATCTCTTTGTGCACGAAGGGAAATCGCGTATAATCGAACAACAATCTCCCGCGGTGTATCGTTGGGGTGGTAGGCCGAATCGTATAATGCAATTATTTACATACCCCTCCTGAATTACCGGAGAGTCTAGCTAGAGGTCGATATTGCTTCTCATGTATTGGACAAATATCATTTTAGGATCCCCTTTGCCACGACGTAAGCGAATCGTTCACGATAAACGACACCGACGGTCTTGGAATCGCGTTTAAGGATCGTAACACACGCTTACGAATGGTTCTCCTATCGAATCAACACGGGCAAACTTGTTCCTTTTGTTATTACTCAAAGGCAATATCCGAACCAGTGACGATATAACTGCCGTCCTTGCATTTTCCTTTATCGATTCGAGAGCGAATCGTTACTTTACGTCGTTACTTTATTGCGCTAATTATTATCGATTTTTACTTCTTTTTTTCTTTTCGAATTCTAAGGAATTTGTGTCGCGTGGAATATTTTATCTGTTAAGGAAAGATGATTGTGATTTGTTATTGTGATTTCTTTAAACTAATTGAATTATTTAAATAAATGAAATTGATTTTGATTTTTATTTAGACATGAATGAATTTAATTAATCGCTATAAAGATATTTTAATTCTGATCATTTATCTACATCTTATGGATTGATAAATTCAGCGTAAGAATAAATTATGTGATATTTCTAGAAGATAAAAGAGCAGATGAGAATAAATTAGTTAGGGAATGTAGCTGTAAAATATGTTTCTAATACTATGGAAATTTTTATTGATTAATCAAATGTTTAAAAATAAATATATTTTTCTTTTTTTAGTTTTTAATTAACACTGGTTTCAAGTGCACTCACGTGTCTAAAAAAATTAATTTTCTTCAAATATTATTTTACTTGCTTACCATTGTGTATTATTATATTTAATTAATACACCTCTACGCTATAATAATTATCACTTCTCAGATGTCAAATTAAAATAAAAAGCTGCAATCAATCACAGTCAGTTTCTCTCATCAGCAAACAAAATTCTGGTCAGAAAAGAATAATAAAATTAACTTACAATCAGTACAATACAGGAAAATAAGTGTTACTGAATATTCGTGTTAATCTTATTAAAATTGTCTTAATAGATCTTAATTGTTTGCAATTAATAGATCATAATTAGCAGTGAACTCGATACTGTGTAAATCTTACTTGGCTTGCTGCTTTATCTGTCTTGATGCCGAAGAAACGATGACCAGTGTCCGGTGATCCAAAAATGTATCCAAAAGCCCTCGAATCGCTCATGTCCTGCGCGATAAACGATATCTTGTGTACAGGATGGTGATACAAACAGTCCTGGAACAAATAAATATCAATTACATAAAAAGTAACGCAAAAATAATAATAATAAAATATTTTTTAATTCAAGTCACTTTACAAATATTTCCATTATTTTCTAAATAGTTGTATACATTGAAAGGATTCCTTTCAAAAATTAAATATTCGTTTCAATTGTTATATTTTCTCAAGTCATTACCCCAGACTTTTCGTCCCGCAAGCGTAATCCATCGATGCTGACCTGGACGGCGATTCGTTGTTTGTGTTCGCCAGCAGCTCGAATCGCCATCTTCAGATCCGCCAAAGCTGCTTGGCACATCCGGTCCCCGCGTGCTTCCGATACTTCCAATATGCCAATCAATTTCGCTTTGAACGACACACCCTCCCCTAGAAATCGGGTTGGTTCGTTCTTGACTGCAAAATAAATAATTATACAATTCCTTAAAAGAGAGATATTAATTTAAAAAATGTCAATTAATCCAAATTTCGATAAAAAATAAATTGAAAATATTTTTACCCGTTCAACAAGTGTCAAATTAAAAATACTTTTGCAACTATAAAGAGTAATAATTTGATCCTAGACTCAACCAAAGATTCGCATTAATTTAAATTTTTATAGGACGAGAAATTACATAGAAGGAGAACTTCTAAATATATATCTATATTATTAGAATGTTTAAGTTTAAAAAGAAAATGTTTGAAAAAAATTTCATAGAATATTTATTACAAATTATAGAATAGAAATATAGAAAAATTTCACAAAATATTTATAAAATTATTAAATCATTAATGCAAATATATATATATATCCATATAATAAAAATCTTCTATTTTTAAAAAGAGTATACACATTTCACGTATAAGTAGTGCTTCTTCCACCCTGTAAGTAGTGTTACTCAACGTATCGATCCTATTCAATCTCAACCCCCGACAATCTCACACTCGACAATTATTAAATAACATTTCGCTCCTCGATACCTTCGATTTAAAGCGAGAGAAACCTAAGATTAAATCGTATGAAAAAAAAAAAAAAGGGAACGTAGTAACAGGAAAGAGAAATAAATTGCTTATCCGAAGGACACTCGAAAAGAATTCTCGTTTTACGCTTTCGCCGGGGCGAATTGATCGTGTGGCCGATCGATATTAAGTTCAAGAGGTTTGAAACCATCGTCGGCGGATCGCTTCGGACCCCTGCTATCTCGAATTCGATGATTTGATAGGATCGCATCGCACGAGACCGCATGCAGGGATATTAAAACGGGCGCAGACCGCGACAGATTTCGCATTACTTTGTTAGTCGCATGGTTCGTCGTCTATCTCGTGGAAAATTGATCTCGTTAGGGATCCTATAATACACTTGCTTACCAATTTGGGAACAAAACGGTGATTAATCGGAATTTCAAAGGAAAATCGTGTCGAAATTGAATTAATTTTTATTGATTTGGATTATTGAATTTTCAAAAATTAATATTTTATATTATTATTATTAAAAACAAATAACTAACTTTGTCTAATTAATCAATAAATAATCTAAAAAAAAATTACCTTTATATTTACCCATTCTTACGTATAACGTTATATTATTATAATACGTTTATGTATTACGTATTATGTTTTTTTACAATTTTAACAACATCTATTATTAAGCTTGTACGTTCATCATATGCATTAAAATCATACACTCTCAAATTCTCTCTCTCTCAATCATCAAATCAACCACCCCCATACATACACTCCCCTCGCGAGTCTTAATCTCTGCCACTCGTAACTTCTCGATTTGCCTTTCTACAGACAATTTATCGAAATCTCCCTATCCCTGAAACATGAATGCAGAGCTTCTTTAACGCACACTTTGGACGGCCCCTCGCGACTTTAATGGCCACTAGGCACACCAGCGCATTTGTTTGAACGTACTCGTGCGACTCGAGTGGAGAACGCCAACTGTCGATACTCGAGGTTCTATCTGGATAACCAATTCATGCCCTTCCTATACCCCCTTAGCCACGATCACTTTTGTACGACCTTTTCATTCTTTTACTCCTTACACGCGTTAAACTAAGATTATCACAAATACATCTCCCTTCTTTGGATAGATTTTTATATAAAACCAAATTTTTATGAATATAACTAAAAGAATGAATCTTAAATAGAAATTTATTTTATTCCTCAAATATCATGCATAATGTTATACTTTGGATATTTTGTCTTTTTATCTGCTATATCCATTTTATAGGTTTTTGCATATTCAAATTTCGCATAAATGCATAAATATATGCAATCTAATGATTACTATCTTCTATATCTATAATAAATTTAAAAAAAAACAGGCAAATAATAGTTATTTTTTTTCTTTTAAATAAAATGGAATCTGATTTATTATAGAGATATTTTATGCATTCTCCTTTTCAAAACATGCATCAGATTATCCATTGTTAAGTTCAACAAAATAAAATAGACTTTAAGGAACGTAATTTATAAAACTGCATCTATTATGTTTCAGTTTTTGCTTCTATGTACAGAATATAAAAAAAAATCTAAATAAAACATTATTAACTCAAAGATATAATGAAAAGGTAATTATAAAAGTTACATTTTAAGAGGGACTTTTTCTTTTAATCTAATTTCGTCATTTCAATGGATATATATATGTATATTCATTTTTTTTATTTCTATTCTGAAATTTTTATTGCAATATAAAGTTCTTTAATATATATTATTTATATTATTAAGTTTGTTTTTTTTTAAGGCAACAATTTTTAAATATGATCAATTTATGACTAAAAACTATATCTAAGAATAAGTCAATTGTTGACACATAAAATTAAGTGTAATAAGTAGTATAATCCTTAAAATGAGCATTACAAAATAGATAGTGCTACCATCTAATGGCGATACTGTGTACAAATAAGTAAATCAACAATCTGTGTTACCACAGTCGGTAAGTTAACCCTACAATAAAAGCTCGCGCGAAAATCATAAAATTGACGATGTCATCTCCAACAATAAAACTGACATCCTTTCAATTATGTTCAAACCATATGCCTACGCAAGTATTCAACGTATCGTACATTATTCATGGTCAAATTAATCTGCACAGCTCGAATCGAACAATCGTCGTCTTTCTCCCTCTTAGAGAACAGGGAAGCCATATTCCAAAGCTCCCTTTGACCGATCTACAGGGTGATATCACTTAATTTTAGAAAATATTAAAGATGCCACGAAACAAGCTGAAACTATCGCTTAGAAGATCACATTATTTGTTGATTCGTATCACAATGTATACACCAGATACACAGAGGATGACGTTGATTTTAATGGTATTCACGAAACTTGTATAAATTCGTTACGGGGGTAAACTTTTATTTCTCTTTTCTTTTATTTTTCGCTTTTCTCTTTTTACTCACACTTGCACGGACTGTTTTTCTTCCGTAAGGTCTGCATCGATAGTCCCGTGTAGGCGACGAGAAAGTATCGGATATAGGAGAGGAGAATGCTACCGATCTTCTCTCTCGGCGCACCCTGGGCCACCGTACTTTCGTGGATAGAATTCTCAACACAGACACATGTCGTTCACACGTCTTTTTCTCCTTTTGTTTTTATGATTTCTCTTCTATCGCTTTTTTCTGTTATTCTTGCACACGTTTACTCCTTCTCTCTCTCCCTCTTTCTCTCTCTATTTCTCTATCTATCTATCTATCTTTCTCTCTCTTTCTCTCTTTCTCTCTCTGCTCCCTCACTCCCACTCCCAATTCCTTTTTCCCCCGCAGCCTATCTCCGTGCCTCTTTAACTATCCTGGCTGGCCGTTACTCTTCCGTTACTCCCTCTGTCTCCCTCAATTCGTGTATTTCCACGGGAGTATGAGATTGGCGCGTTTCACGTACGGTCGGTACTTCTTGTTCCACAACACGATCGCATTTTGTCACAAACAGCCAAAAAAACAGCAAGATCGTATGAACACTTTGTTTGAAAATCGGTTTCTCGCGGTACACACGCGTCACGTAAAAATACGGACGAAGTAACAGCTGCCTCTGCCGGCACAGGTCACCCATGTTAGCCTCTCTTATTGATCAATAATATACCATCTAGTACGTGGCGTCGTCGCTTCGGGGCCATAGAGAACATTTCCCGCTTCGTGCGCACTTTTCCACTGATTTTAGATTTTCTTGTTTCCTTTTTTACTGTTTGCATTACGAATAGAGCTCTACGTTCTAAAAGCTGTTCTTATTTATAACAAGTTAATAAATCGCATAATTTCAATATGTTCTTTTTATTGCTGATATCGACCGAGATGAACCCGACAAAATACTTTTATTTTTCGTCACAGTTTTCAGCGGGATGGCGCAATTGCAACAAATAATACTGTGGCATTAGTGTTACTTCATTTATAGTTGTTTCTCATACTAAAATAAAATTTATGATGTTATTACGTAGTCATATTACATTATATAATTGAATAAATGCTGATTATTATTATATTTATATTTTTCTGTTTTTTACAAATATCATGTTTTGTTAATGTAAATAACAAGTTGGCACTATACAATGAGGTTATGTAATTAAAATTATGAAGTTGTGTATGTATATTTGATATTAAGATTTTATTAAAAATAAAATTATTAGTAAAAAGTTATTAAAAAACAAAGAGGTTATTAAATACAAAAATTTAAAAATTAATTTCACGTATTGATACATAAATAAAATCTATATATTATGTATTATATTTATATCATTTTATAATGATATTATTTTGAAAATTTCAATTTATTTTTATTTTATTGTGATATAATTAAAAAGAAAAATCGAGATAGCATATTGATAATATCATAACCAAAAATTAAAAACAAAGATATATAGATATGAATAAGTTAATTATAGATATAGATATATCACAAACTAAAATAAATATTTATTAATAATAAATTAAAATAAACTTATCGTTAAATTACAAGCTCGTTTATGCTTATATTCATGTTTATATTTAATAATTTTCTCTTTAATTTGTTATATTTTTAAAACATAGAAGGAATAAAAAATATACAAAAAATATTTGTAATATGGAAATGTATAAAAATAGTATATATAATATAAATATATATGTAAAGTATAAATATATAAAGAAACAAATTTATAAAAAATATATATATAAGCACAGACCAAATATAAATTAGATCTAATAATAAATAGGATTTTTTGTCCATATTCTAAAATATCGATACACAAAATCAGAGTTTTTGCTATATTTCTTATGATTTAATATAGTGAATGTACGATTTATATTAAATGCAATTACTGAAATTGATAAAAAAACAAATAAAATTATAAGTATAAACATAAATACAGAATAGATGTGACTCTTATGGCATAAAAGAAGACATCAAAATATAAGTGATAGAGCCATCTCTTTGAAAAGTATTCAAATTAATCCCTTATTATTATCGACAGCAAAATAAATTTTGTCAATGGTCTTTGATTAGTTGCACCATCTTTCTAGTAAACGTTGAAACTATTCATATATAATTATCGACACTATAATAAATTTTTTAAATAAAATTCACAAATTTTGTTTTTGAACTATACTAAGTTATATAATAAATTGAAATTTTTTTCAAATATGTATATATATATATATATATGTATTTGTATTCATATGTCATAATAAATTAAGAAAATTAATATACTAATATTAACAGAAATTTTTAATAAAATTTTAAAAATAAATTATTAATTAACTTTCAAATAAATATGTATATATATAAAGATTATTATTAAACTATATTAAATATAATAAAATGTTGTTAAATAATATCAAAATAAAATGTTAATGATTTTTAATACATTATAATTTGCAAAAAAATATAACATAAAAATTATTCAACTCAATAACTCATCAATTTGTATGATCGTTTTCGTTAACGCTGCTTAATTACTCGAATTAAGGCGATAGCATTTTTAATGACATTCGAGAACTCTGACCGTAAAAGTATGATGCTACGCCATTGGTCTCATCGAAGTCACGAGCTCTCAGTTCGCGCAGAGCCGCCGTTTAGTGAGGATGTGTCGTGTCGTTCATCATTCATTTTAGTGAAAGAAAACAGAGAGAAATTAAGGCTGCAGTGTATCTTAACGTCATTTACATCCGTCATCTGTGCCTTAACAATATTTCCAGGCTAATTAAGCGGCTGACAAATGAACGCACATCATGACATCTCGTAAAAACTTAACCGTTATATTAGCGATAATATTCGGAATTTTCATAATTAACATACATGCTAGATCCTGGGGTAAGTAGAATGATCATTTATTAAGCCATTTTATGTTATGAAAAATTGTATTAATAACAATTTAATATTGTATAAACGATACAAGTAACACCGTGTTGCGAGTCGCGTGAATGCTCTCCATTCACGCGGTCTCGGTGGTCACGTACGCCACTTCTCGTACTGTTTTACCTTGTAGAAAGTCGAAACACGACTGAAAAGGTGAATGAAACTGATCCTTGATTTGTTTCGAACGGATTCACGAGACTTCTATGATTAATATTGATATGGAAATAAAGCGAAATGATACTTGTCCTTATACCTGTTTACGTAATGAATGTCAAACCGTGTTCTGCTTTGCTGTGTATATGCGTACACGCATACAGAAATCGTACGGAATTTTATCGAAAAGCTAATAAATCAACGAATAGAAGTCTATATTGAATTACCATAACTCGATAATACATCTAAAAATTATCACCTACCGATCAAATTTTTAGTGATTTTTTTTATAATATAAATTGACACGGATCTACTTTATCTATTTCGATTGTTCTCTCGACAATATCAAAAGAAAACCATGTGGTATGATCAGTGTAAAAATAGTAGTCATATAAATTATGTCATATGAATTTTTCGAATGTCAAGCGATCCTCGAATCCTCCTTCTCGTGTACGTCCTCGCGAACGTATTTAGAAAAACTGTTCTGTCGTGCATTGTATCATCAATACCAAACTGTTTAAAAATTATGCGTACACGATGATATGTGAAATCTGTGAATTACGTAATATATAAAACTGATAACATTATTGGATTGTTTAATTTTATGATCTTAAGAATATATACAGAATACAAGATAGTTATCGTTCCATTGATACATACATACATACATATATATATATATATATATATCAGTTATGTAAAATGTAACGATATAGAATAATAAGTTAATTTAATAATAGAAACATTGATTAATTTTCAATCTTTATAAATCAATAAAAAAATTATCTTCAATAATTTTCAAATAAATAGAAAGAATTTTCTGCTATACTTTTCATATCATTAATAAAATTAATGCAACAGTTATTTATCATAAATAAGCATAACGAAATTTACAAAATGCAAATACAACGAAATTGAATAGCTTATGTCGCGATATAGTATTCTTATGTCGCGATTGTGAAGTGAGATATACAAGACGTATGTTCATATGAATATAATATATAATATGAATATAAGAATTATATGGAACAGCGAAATGTAACACTCGTGATAATTTGTTAGAAAAAAATTCGAAACTGGAAATAATAATACAAGATAATTCAGCATTGCATATAATTTTTCATTTTTTTCGTTGATATACCATTATTTATGCTTTTATTATCTAACTGTTATTATAAATTACTTTCATGCAAATTGTTTTAATTTTTACAAATTCATTTGAAAAAATATACATGGAAAAATAATATCTTTTAACGTTAAATATTTCAATAACTATTTAAATATTTATATTTATTATATTTAATCCATCAGATATCATAGTAACAACAACAAAAAATATTTGTCAACAACATACAAGTTTTCCTCTTATTATCTATTCTTGCACAAATAAAATTTCTATTCATGCACGTCAACTGGAAATGATTTTCAATCAGCAAGTAAGATATTTAACATATTTATAAATGTATATGTACATTATATTGCAAAAACTTGAATAGTTTATTTCATGATTCGAAGACATTGCGCAGTTTCATTTCTTGGTCAAGTCAATCGACGGTAAAAGAAATATTCAATGATCTTCGACATTCGATTTATCGTTATAAAACATTTAGATAAAATTTAATCTGTCGCTGTATTTTCCATGTTTTTGTTGTATTTTCTTACAATGATATTTTCTTTACAATTAGAGATGATGAAGTAATATAAAGAATATATCTTGCATAATTATAATATGTTTTTCGATAATTAAAACAAATATTTAATAATATTTCGATATTTAAAATAAATAATTTAAAAAAAGCAAAAAAAATTTATTGAATTTTATATTATAAATTTTATTTACTATAAATTCTGATAAAATTATCTTAGAATCATTTATTTTTATTAATTTTTCTGCATCAAATATAGTATCCATAATATTAAATTATTTATAACTATATTAAATTACAAATTATATTAAAAAATGTATACGATTTATGTAAAAAAAAAATAGAACTTTTTATTTTCCGATTATTATTCGATTTCAAAATATAAGTTTTCAAAGTTTCTATATTGTAGTTACGGCGCGCACTTTTTAAATATCAGTTGCGCGCGCAACATCTTAAACATATGCGTAGAGTAAAAACACGTGCGAATAGAATTCTTTTATATTTGATAAAAGATATAGAACGAATAACAATTGAAATATATAAGTATAAAATGAAACATTTGATATATATATAGATATATGGAAAAATGAGGAGATATTTTAATTATGAATTTATATATATTATGAATATTTTTTTTTTATGCATTATTTAAAGAAAAAAAAAAGGTTATAAATATATAATTTTTTTCTTATGAATATTTTTTTTAAAAAATCAAAAAATATATATACATAATGCATATACTTGCAAAAATGTACTATATACAGCCCTGAGGACCTGCTATATCAATCGGTACCGCTAATTTGTAGGTTAATTTATAACCGCAATATAATCAAGAGTACATGTGAATATACACTTGTAAATTGATTCTTGACTCAACATATAAATATCTATCAATCATCTATGATTAAATTATTTATACAAGAAAAAATTTATTTAAAAATTTATTATATCATTTATTTATCAATCTGTTATAATTATTATAAATAAAATATTTAAATTGAAATATAGTGGTAATAATGTATTAATTGTAAATACATAAAAATTTAGAGAAAAAAATTAAATTATTATAGAATTAGTATTAAACTTCCTATATTTAAAATTGATTTTCTTATGATTTGTATAATATTTGCATTTATAAATACATGACGCAAAGATTACGTGATTTCGAGAAATATATGTTGAAATATATAAGTTTTGTTAAACAAGTTTTAATTTTAATAACATTATTATGATTACATATTAAGTTGCAAGAAAAATTTACAAAGTGTATCTATTTTTGATAAAATAGATTTATGTATGATAATATTTTTGATAAAATGGAAAAAATAAGTA